TATATCAATTTTAACGCGTTCTTCAAATATTTGGACGAGCGAAAGTCCAAATACTAATCGATTATGACGTGAAATTCTGTTTTTCGCTGCGAGAGTTCTTTAGCGTAATTTTAATAGCTATCCACTCCTTTGTCAGCTTCAACTTCAGTTTCGACAAATTTTTGCGGCTACCCTAGTCGAAAACAATTCGGTTCAGCTGGGCGCCTGTCCTTTCCCCTCTACCCATGAAAAGTCGATAGCAAAATATCTTGTGCAAGATATTGGCGCCTTCTCCGCCTTCCAGTTGGCTTGACGGGAAAAGGGACTTGTTCATTTTGGTCACCAACATTAATCTGATTTGATTTCGTAGGACAATTGAGAATCTGCTTTTTCACTAATTTTTGCACAAATTTGCCCTTATCGCCAGAAGATCCTTTGTGAAAGAAATTAGCTTTGCTGTCATTGTTGCGGTGGTAGGAAAATAGTTCGAAAAAGATAATTTTTTCTGAAGCGAACATATTTTTCCTAAGTTGATTTTTCAAGCACTTTTTTCAAAGATTTATTCGCTCACTACGCCTACACTATAGTTGTTTCGACACGGGGTGAAATTTTTCGAAACAAACTTGATAAATGGCCGACAAAACAGCGCCTCAGGCGGAAATTATTCTAAAAATACGTTTCATAGCATTAAAAATAGTCTTAAAAACACTACAAAGTAGTAAAAGCCGCCGCAGGAAGAAGTCCCCACCCCGTTTATCACGCCCTTCATCCCCAGGCCATGCTGCTACTATTAGGGGCCTGATGACCAGGTATCCGTTTTTTTTTCAGAATGGCGATGAATTGTCTTAGTAATGGTGGGTTAATAAATATGGCTTTTTACGACATCGATCCGTAAGTAGTTTCTGTTCGTCCTGATTTACACTAACAGACCAATGGAGCGATGCGAAGAAGGCCCACACAAACGACACAGCCATTTTCTAAGAGAGCCAAGAACGCAGCTGTGCTTTCAATTGAAAGAAAAAAAATCACTCATTTTAGGAACTCTGCCAAGGAAAATGTTGTCCGATATTATGACGCCCCAATGGATTATCCTGGAATGACAAAAATGAATGCACACGTTTATGGAATACCGCGAACATGGCTCTCGAACTGATGGCACAAGTTTTGACAAGATTTGCAGTACAGTTGTTAGGTTTTATTAACAAAGACATTGCATAATACAATGGCACATCGCCAAATAACACGTTTAGAAATGTTCAGCGCCGGAGAAGAGGATCACAAGGCAAGCAATTGGTTCATCGCGATGTCAATGGCCGGACAAGTGAGCTCTGATTGGAGCCTAGAACGTGTATTAAGCTTATTCACTTAGGGAGGGAATTAGACTGAACCCTGACGCTGGGCGATTTCAGAATCGTCCGAGAGGTGGAGAAGGCACGCGCATGAGTAGTAGGAGCGGAACCGGATTGGGTAATGGCACCAGAGGTCAGAGCAGCAGGAAAGATAGGAGAGGTCAGGGCCATTCAACGAAGCTTTTATTACGGACCTAGGATATCTTCAAATATGATATTTACGGGTAGTTGGATGTGGTTGTGTTGAGATATGGTGGATAGGAGGTATCCATCAGTCGAGGTATGGCGCTAAGTAATTGAATACAGTAAACCCGGAAGCAAGGATATTGCTGGGATATTACCGGATGGAATGTCGCATTTGACGGGGCTGCGGCTGCTTGTTTTAGGGTAAGTCGATTAGAAGTCTCCTTGCGTCTAGTAGCTGTAGATGTAGCAAGGATCAGGTCGAGGAACGCTTCGATGTACAACAAGCGCTACTATACTCAGTGAAAATGATTGAGGTAGAAGATTTGATGAATTGCGTAGACCCAAGTTTGAAGAGCCTTTGCGTCGTTCGATCGGTTGCCAGATGTGAATCCGCATAGCTCAAAAAATCGAGCCGCGACAGATTCGTATGGAATGGGGCTTGAAGCTTTGCTACCGGGCCGAGCCGCTCAGTGCCCCGGCGTCTAGTCTTGGTTCCTCGATTCGACACGCGACACGAGAAAGACTTCAAGCCTGAAAATCGGTGGCGAAACCCTGGGCCCACGAGAAAGGTTTATTGATTGAGTTAAAAGAGCAGCTGGGGGCCACTACCGCATTGAAAAACGCGCTTCAGTTGGGCTGTCGAGCTTGATGGTGCACTACAGATCCGCCGACCCCAACCCTTTATTGCTACGCGACGATTTTCGGGTCGAACGAGCCGTGCTCGAAGACAATGAGCTTAGAAGGCTGATGTGCATCACCAGAAGATTGGTGAAATGCCGGTTGAGGATCAGTACGATTTGCCAGAGAGGCCAGCTAATATTGGCAAAGTGGAAGCTCCGAAGTTGTTAGAGAACCTATCGCGTAATATCTTCTCGCAGCTTAATCAACACGGAGCCGCAGACGAACAAATCTAGTTCGGAAACGAGAGAAAGGCGATAGCAGGGATCCTGGACTTGTTCCAAGCAGCTCGTCGTCTGGGATGCAGAAGGCAGAGATCATCGCTCAAGACCTTAGCGTCCGTATGCTCGTCGAAACAAATCGTGGGACGGACTTCCCCATTGGGATACCTACGACTGCTCGATCAGACCGTACCGAAGCCACTTGTGGACGGGCAAATTTATGCACAAACGAATCAGCTTCCCAATCGCCACCCTCGAAGGTTCCACTCAGCCTGTGGTACGCCCTGGACATCTTGGGCAGGTCTACTTCTGCGGGAAAGAGAACCGAGATTCGTCTCGTGAAACCAGCTCGAAGAAGCTGTCATATCACGACATACACCAAAAGGAACCCTGAACTAGGAACAGATTCGGCGATCATCGTTAGTGGAAGCGACGTACCGCCTAATGGATGAACGTACCGTGTCGGTGTTCCGGTCGAAATGGCACGCGCGCATCCGGCGAGACATTTCCGCAAGTTTGGTGCTGAACGAGCGAGATGCTGGCAAATTGCTGGGCCTATAATATGGAGGATGTGTGCAGAAAATGGCATCGGTACCAGGGCAGCCATTTCGGGATATGTCTTTGTCCACGATATGCCGCCAGCACATAAGTGCTGGCAGCACATTGTGAGGATGTTGGCGGTTATCCCAGTGGGCAGCCCCAAATTCCAAATACGACATCAGAAATGCTCGACGTAAAGATCAGAAAGACGATATTGAAGCTTATACCTTGATCCTTATCGCGTACAAGAGATTCCCACGGTGGCGGACGTGAGAGTATTGGCTCTGCAATTTACTCGTCGAATTGATCGCGGAAATCGAGGCAAAGGGAGAGACAGTGGGCGCTGTTATTCGAGTGGGTTGAGCTGAATGACGGCTCTAATGCCTTATTATTCAAAACTGCACCCCACAATGAAGCGGGCACATTTGTTAATAATCAATCTGGAGCGTCGGGTATTTGGCGGAGAGGGCAAACTTTTGCGCTTTGTCCCCGTTAGGGTTGGCTGGGATCATGAAACCGATGCTCGATGCGATGGCGGATTATTATCAGGATTATGATCGTAGTTAGCGGTGAGAAATTTTGTGAATGTAGCATTTGAATTTTTAATTGCAATTTTTTTATCTGATTTTAACAAAAAGTTTTGCAAGGTGGCGTGGACCCAGAGGTGATGCAAGTACGCCTTTGATAGCTCGAGTTTTGGAAGACGATTACGTGAGTTCTGGTTCAGCTCCAGCAAGTTTTCTTTAGGACTCAAAAGCGAAATGGGGGTCAAGCCGATGCTCCCAACACGACGAATTTTCTGTTCTTTTTGCCATATTTTGCTGCAAACGCTTGGAACACACTTGTCGTTCCCGAAAGCTTGACATCGCACTTCTCCAAATCTTTGTTTCTGAGATACACCTGTTATTTTTGTGTCTGTTGAATTTCCCCCAAAGGCGAATTACGTATGCAGAAACGGCTGGAGCAAACCTTGCATATTTTCTTTAAACGAGCCGAAAAATCTTTATCGATCACGTAATGGAAGCATTAGGTTTCGATAGTTTGGCGGTATTTTGTAGTTGCATATTTTGGATTCGATAAACGCAGAAAACCTTTATACTGACAGCATAAAAATCCAGGCATTTCCGGATATGTTCAACCCAGCCGGGAGAGATTGCGATGCTGCTTCATCGTCCAGAGGGGGAGGGGCACGATGCTCGCGGAGTCGGGAATTACGACAGTATTACACAGAAAGAACAGAAATCTAAATCCGGAAAAAAAAAGGAAAAGCGATAAATGGAGCAAATGACCGGAGCCGCCGACTTCAGGCGGAAAAAAATTAACGCCTGCGGCCGAGGCGCACTGATTGGCCGGAGGCTTCCGGTCCGGCAGATTTCAAAGCTAAAAACTGTATTTCGTTCTCTCCGTTTCTCGCTTTCTCTTTCTATCTCTCTCTCGTCTCTCTCTCTCTCTCTCTCTCTCTCTCTTCTCACACTTTCTCTCTCTCTCTCTCGCAGTAACCCACCGGAACGCTTTTTGATGAGTACGCCGGGTTCATCATATACGTCGCGTCAGAGACCCTCGGCCCCCGTCGGGCTCGAAGTGACTGAGGAGTCTACAAAAATTCGATTATTTTCCTGGAATTTTGGGACGCAGTCGCTGTGGTTCCTTAGGAATCGTCAAACTGGGTTCTCGGCAAAGCTGGCGGAGGCAGACGATCCTGGGAGCGATTTTACTGAGAAAAATTGAAAATCATTATCATGTCTGGCAGCGTTTCTTTAGGAATCATGGCGGCGCTGGAGTACAGGGAGCGCGCTGAAGGACATTTTGGGGCAAAAACACCTACCGTAAGTGGAATTCTTGTCGCAGCAGGGCCAAGAAGACCACGAGAATGCAGAGGAAGTAGGCGAAGAAGCATTTTGGCGCTACAAAATTAGGATGCAGTAAAATTCGCTCCACAATTTCTGAGGAATAGAAAACAAGATTGGAAAAAACGATTTTCCCTTTATGGGTTGCCTGAGTGTTTCTGGGGGCCTATAAATCAATCAACAACTGAGAATATATCACTGAAACAAGAAGATGCAGGAGGAAATCATTTGAGGAAGGAGCCAAGTGAAATATCAAGGGAGTATCTCACAGCAGGTAGTAAAAAAAAAAAAAAATAAAATCATGTAGTAGATAAACTGATGTAATAAAAATCCAGATTAAACAGAAATGGTGATTCCCCACTGGCAGAAGGAGGTGAATTGGAGGCCACTACAGATGACCAAAATTGACGGCCCTTCAAAAAACACCAAGGAAGTCAGAAATTCAAAAATACTTTCAAAAATTCAGGAAAGCAACACCCCCAAAAGAATATAAATATTTAGAATTACAGCAAAATCTTTAAATTCTCCCCATGAATCCTTGGAGACATTGTTTTTTAAAATATTTTCTGCAGGACAAGCCTTCAAACAGGCAGCCAGTAAATACAAATCTTGGGTTCAAAAGATTTGTAAAAACTCAATTGAAGAACTTTTTAGCTTGAGTGTTCATGCCCTATGGACGGAACATGAAACAAACATCCAGAAATTTAAGAAATTTCTTAAAAGCCTTTCAAAAACGGTACAAAAAAGTTTAAGGGATAAAAAATGCCACACTGGCTGCAAACTGGCTGAAATTTCCCTGTTAGATTCAGATTAAATGCCCAAAACGTGACACAGAGGGTAAAATGACGTCGAAATAAATCGACGTTCAGGAAATCCTAAAAAGTTAGCTTTGAAAAAGTAAAACTAGAATGGAGCACGTCTTCCGATAAAATCTGAGATTCGAGAGGAAACCCCAAATCCACTTCCTCTCCGTGATTTCCCCCAAAATCGCCTGTTTTCCATAACAACTCTCTTCTTCCTCTTTTTTCGCAAAAGCCTTGATTTTTGAATTCCGTTAGATTTTAATGTGTTCCGAACTTTGCAAATGACGGTAATTAGGCGAAAAAATCAGATTTTAAAATCATAAATCTAAAAATAAATATTTGGTTTACGCTAAGAAAATGCAAAAATGAAAATGGTTGCTCTCGCCAAAATTTGCAAGGAAAAATCAAAATTTTTAACCAAGGTTTAAATAGATTATTTATGAAAACGAAAATTTTTTTAGAAAAATGGTTCGTAGTTTAGAAGCCAGATTTTGAAAAATCCTATTTTCCAGTTTTTCTGGCACCTGATTAATCGATTACGCGATGAAAATGGTTGTTAAAATTCGAGATTCGAGGTGATTCGACAAAAAAGCGTGCTTTTCCGAAAATGAATTTACGCAGCCAAATAAGCCTCTTGTTGGTCTCTTTTAAAGGTACGTGAGGGTATGGTGTACTAGCGAAGCTGCGGGGGGCCCAGCGGCGTATCGTAGCGTAGCGCATCGTATCATGAATTATCTCAGGTTAAACTTTCAACGTAAGGCCGCGTAGCATAACGTAACCTACATAGCGTAAGATGTCATAGTGTTTTATAGACACTTTTTTCCCAAAGCGTCGAAAGCATACGGTAATCAATTACGCGATGAATTCCGAGCTGTCGATTTCCGGAAGCAAATTTATCCGCTCGAAAATGACGCGTTTTCCGTTTTGTCGACTACTAGCGGGGGTGTTAATTGGAAAGGCGCGTAGTCCCTAAAAGGATGAGGAAAAGAGGTGTTATTGGAGCAATTCGGAATTCGGCATTACGAATTGACCTTCATCTAATAGGGGCAGAAAAAGGAGGCGGTAAATTGCCTGGCGCGGTTCCAGCCAACCGTATGTTTTGGGTATAATTTAATTGGTGGGACAGTGTAGGCACTCGGAAATCATGAATATTTCATCAAAATTGACAGCCAGTTGAACGAATTAACCGAAAAATTCGAAGATTTGACCTTTGGGGGTGGAAATGGGAATTTCATGGCGTACGCGAATGGATTTTTGCGATTTCAAGAGTTTTTCCGTCGGTTTTTATCGGAAGCTTTAAAATGTTGTCGGCCTGGGCGAAAAAGTTGAAAATCGCTTAAAGGGCACGTTCAGGGACGTTTTTGCAAAAAAGCAAAGGCTTTGCCGCGGCCAAGGAGAAACCTGGCCCCCGCTCGGGAGGCGGGGATGCATACCTTCAGTCAGCCACAGCTACAACCTGGCGAGGGGGCGAGGGGCGCCCCACGCCGCAAAGGGGAGGGGAATGGCCTGTCACAGCACGGGCAGGCAGTGCGCGCGGTCCCTACGTCCAAAGGGTTACACGTTGGGACGAGGCTACGGCCCCTCCCTGAACGTGCGCTTTAATGGGGCGGGGGAAAGTCAGATTTAATTCCATGGCGTAATCGAATAGATTTGCGCGAATTCGAGTGACTCCCCGAGCTCCAGCTCTTTTGCTTTTTTAATAGTATCTTAAAATGGCGGCCGGTCCATCGAAAAACTCAAAAGTGTTTAAAGGAGCCGTGAAACAAAGATACTTGCGGTGCGGAATCGACAACAAGCGAAACTACGAAATTTTCCAAAAACTAGTAAGTGTTTTCTGTCTGGTGATCCTAAAAATAAGTTTACATGTTTTGGGCTCATTTCTGGTGAATTTAGTGATGTGTGGGAGAAGCATGCCCTCAGGCTATTAGTCTCCCCAAAACATTGCTAGCAGGAATGGGAGGGTTCTTGGGAATTCTGCACCTAATCGAGCACCAGACTACCCCCACGCCATCCACGCCATCCACCCACATCAAAGTCATTTCCCTAAAATCAACGCTGAAATTAGTGGGCTTTTTGGATCTGTATTTCGCAGTCGTAATCGGTTTTCTAGCTGTCGCCGTCCCTTTAAAAGTCCAAAATTCCTCGCGAATCGTTTCCAGTCTCGGAATATCGCCAAATACCACGAAAATTCAATAAATACGGATTTTTCTTCGAACTTGCAAAGGCAATTACGTGGCGCGTAATCGATTTCGGCCTGTCGCTACCCCTCTTTAAAAGCCCACCTTGCTATTGTTTTCATTTTTCGATTTGAGCACCAAAAAGTCGCTCTAAATGCCACATTACTCCATTTATACGGTTTATGCAGGGATTTTTATAGAAAGACGACAGAAATCGAGAACAAGAAGAAAATCATGGAAAAAATCGATAAATTCCGGCAAAAATCGATAAATTATTCGATAGGCCTGAGCATCAGTTGGATATGCGCAATTCATTTTATCGACGAAAAGGGACGGGTCGCGGATTACCTGCAAAAATTGGCTGTAATACAATTTTTCGGGTATTCACTCGTGGAACGGCAACTCGGCTCCTTTGTGCTTCAGGCTCAGCTCTGTTGAATCTCTGCAAAAACGGGATATCATGGCGTAATCGATTCAGCAGCTTCGCCATTTAAATGACCTAACCCCTGGGGAAACCGGAAGTTTTGTACCGTAACCACTACTAGAGGGATCCGGGATTACGTATTTTTACGGATTTTTGAAGGATTTCGTGAGTTTTAGAAACTGAATTTCATAGCGTAATCGATTGCGGTGTAATTGATCCGTCGCCCTCCCTTTAAAAAAGGGATGGTCTTCGACTCTCGACTTTGTGAAATTCTTTCCTGGCCGGCCACCGAACGCAACACACTTTGCTCTCGTCACAAATCGTAAACAGGTATTCGACGGATCTGGAATTTCATGGCGTAATCGATTGGTTTTATCGTTTTTTTGGGTACCCTGCTTGATCACTCTCAGCCACCAATATCACTCGTTTAGTTTCATCACCACCGAATTCGAGCCGATTATCTAAAACAAATAGAATTAAAAAATACAATTAAACTTAAAAATTCCATTTTTTGCAAAAATGTTGACAAAAATCGATTTTTCCTCAAAAATACGGCAGCTTATTTTTTTAAGGGACCACTTCCATCCATCATTCTGGATAGCAGAGGCACGGGGTCATAAACTAAAAATGACAATTAGTGGTGGTGTACGGTGGATTGGGTCGTACCGAGGAACTAATCTCTGGCCGAGTACGACTGTCGAGATCATGACGACTGAGGATGATACGGGCTGTCCAACGCACGTCAGAATACAGGCGGACCAGAATTGACAGCCGGGAGAATTCGCTTAAATTGGCCGGGATAATGGTAGATACGCAGCTCAAAGCAGTGTTTGCAGTCGCCGATCCGGAGTCTCAAACTCGATGATGGAAAACCCAAATGGTGCGGGGGGAGCCAGCCAATAAACACAGAATGGGCCAAAAGGTGTCCCAAAAACCCCTACCTAGCGGTCCGCGGCCAAGTCCGATTTATGATTTAACTACCAATCGAAAGCTCTCGAAACGGCGAGAAAACAAGGGTTTCGTTTTCAAGATTTAATCTGATTCTAGCGATATTTCAGGTTTTCCTAAAAAACCGGGAATTTTTCATCAGGAATTTCGCAACAGCATGCAGATCTCGCATAAATCAGCTGTTTTTATGGTTTTTGGACATAAAATTATGAAATAAAAAGGCTTAATTAAGAAATTCAACCCTCCTTGTTTTCGGGCCTTTCGAGAGCTTTCGATAGATACCTAAACGGCGAGAAACGGAATCGACTAGCGGACCGCTAGGCAGGGGGGTTTTTTTTGGGACAATCGGTGTACTGGCCCCAGGACTGGCAAAATGACATTAAATTTAAATTATGGGACTGTATGTTAAATTTGAAAGATACCTGAAAATCTAAAATTTTGAAATTTAAGTTGTAGCATTTTACGAAATTTGAGTTGTTTGGCGTGTTTATTAATTCTACATTTGGCCAGAAATGTTACCTGGCTTGATTACGGTATTTTGAAGGGCCGCAGAAGTTTTTAGCGACCGTTGAAGCCACAAAAACGCGAAATTTGAACTTTTGAAAACTGTTTTTACGCAATTTTTCGAAGTTCGAGCGATTTTAAGCCATTCTAATAATTTACGGGATGCTAAGCAAAACCCACACTGCCTGAGCCCTCCTAGCCAGCGGTTGAGCCTGATATTTGTATGCCAAATTGACGAATGGTAGATGGAGGAACGGGCTGTCTCCGGCATTTCGCCCTTCTTCTACCTCGGCCAGTTCCTCGCCGGACAAGAAGGGAATCTAAAAATCTTGATTCGCAAAAATATACAAAATAGGTATTAATCACGGAAACATTGGCCAAATTTTGGTGTCACCATCCCTTTAAAATAAAAATTGCACGTTAGATTACGCAAAAGTAGATTCAACACCACGCACCACACCACATACCACCACCTTTACCACCAGAACCAGAAACGTTCGCCCTCGAAATCCCTTTGAAATTCTTGGACCTAATCAACGGCAGGTTATTCATCAGTTTTGCCACCGTAATCGGTTCTCTCCTCTTCGGGGTGGGAAGGGGAATTCAACCATCGGAGGACTGCTTTCCAGACGATGAATTCATCTGGAAAATTTATTATTTATCTGTTCTCCCCCTCTCTCGATTTCTGCTATCTGACACCCATTCTACCGTATCCCCTCATTTCAACTTACTGATACAATTAGCGAATTATGCCTCAAAATATGTTCGATCGTTCAGCATCAGCCGATTCCCATTCTGATTGCCATCTTCGTTGATTACTGTCTCGAATTGATGGCCAATTGACGAGATGCAGGCACGGATTATTGGCTGGAAAGAGAAATGTTAATGTCCCTTTAAAACGTAAAACTACGACTTAAACGACTTTAGTGGAGGTGGCAGCTGGAGTTATGGCTAGAGATAAGAAAGAGACAGACGGAAATAGACATAGGAGAACCAACGATGATATGCCTTGCTGTATAGCTGAACCATTCTGTGTACAGTCTTTCCAACGATAAATGCGGGAGAATTCGGTGGATCGCGTAGTCTTGGTATACCTAAAAACGCGTTTTCTCGCTTAAATGGCGCTTTCTGGCTCAATGTTCCTTTAAGCACTAGGGTTTCAGGCTAGGGCGGCCCTTTAAAATCTATCGATTTCGGGAATCAAAGTTATCGGTTTATGCCTCATTAACCATGTATTGAATTTTTAATTAATTTTTAGCGATCCTATGGGATTTCTAGCTCCGAAGACTTTTAACCGCAAAGGATTTTGCCATTAATGGTCCTTTAAATGCGTAATGGATTCGTGCCTTCAATGGCCCTTTAAAATGCAATAAATTTCTGCCTTCAACAGCCCTTTAAAAGCTATAGATTTCGAACTAGAAGAATCCCTAAACCCTATGGATTTTTACCTTCGATGGCCCTTTAAAGGAATAAAAATGGATACCTTTTCAGGGATGGAACATTATATTTGTCAGCGAGAACGAGTATTGGTAGAGTATTCTCTGTAGATGTGAGAAGATGAACAGGATTACAGTAGAGAAACGAAGAAAGGAAGAGAAGTCTTCTGTACAACCCGTGTTCTTCCATCAAATGAACCACCTGAAAATGGGGGAAAACAGAATGGTAACTAAAGACTACTGGCTACAAATCTCTGTTTTGGCTACTGACTACAAACTACAGAGAACTTCACCACCCTAGTGCACAGACTACAGACTCCAAACTAAAAAATACTCTTTTGGGCTACAGACTACAAACTATAACGAAATAACGCCACCCTGGTGGGCAGGCTACAACTATAAACTACAAAATACGCTTTCAAGGCTACAGACTACCAATTCCAGTAGAAAGTGGATAACAAAAATCCGCAACCACAGAAGACACTTTTTTGTTGAAAAAACAAAAAACTGGGCTACAAAATACATTTTTCTTGTTGAAATCGGAATTTTGGAGTACAGGCTACAGACTACGGACTAGAGTACAGTATACCTTTTTGTGTCCATCCCATTGGTCGGCAAACCTCGATCCGAACACATCACTCCCACGCAGCCAGAACGACACGATGGGCTGGGAAACTGGAAGGGCAGGGTTACGGTAGCGGGTTAAGGTAGGGTGTCGCCATCCCTTTAATCGATTCCAAAACGTACGGTAGGCTACGACCGACGCCCGAATACGGTATAATGACTTTAAAGGGGCGCGACAGTTAGTTTGAGCAATTTCTGCTGTCGTATTCCCTTTAATCGAGTTTCTGGGCGTACGAATTGCTCCAAAATACACCAAGCAACTGGAATTTGGCTGCATTTCGTACAGTGGATGCCAGAATGCGGTAATGCGCGCTAAAAGGAGCGCTTTGTACATTTTTTGCTGTTATGGTTCCTTTAATCGCGCTCCTAGGTGTACCAAACGCTCCAAAATACACGGACATACCGTCATTAGGTTGTAATTTGTACTTGGAGATACTGTGGATGCCCGAGTACGGCAATCTGGCATTAAAGGAAGCGTGACAGCTAGTTTTGGGGAGTGTTTCATGGCGCTATCCCTTTAATCACGTCCGTGGGAGTACGAATTGCTACAACCTACGTCTAGATCCTGTAATATGGCCGTATTTCGTACTGTGGACGTCAGAATACGGCAATCCGGGTATAAAGGTGCCGTGACAGCTAGTTTTGAGCAATTTTTGGTGTCACGGTCCCTTTAATCGAGTTTCTAGGAGTACAGGGTGGGGCAAAAAAAAGTGCCGTAGTTTGTCCCCAATTATCTCGAGAAGGAAAGATATTTCACCGTGCGTTACCATGCCAGAATGCTTAAATATGTCAGGAATAGGGAAATAACTCAACTCTATTTTTTCGATTTTTGAGTACGCAACTGTACTATTGACGCTGGTTACGACCGAAAATTGTGCGTTCTGGAATGGGTGGTGGGAAAATTCTGATTTTTGGCTTAAAAATAGTATAAATTTGTAGAAAGGTAATGCCCAAATCTTAGAATTTATCGAGGTCAGTTTCATTTTTAAAAAGCAAAACAATTTTCGCAATTTTGCGTTATTTTTGTTCTTTGAGTCATAACTCGCTTATAACTCGCTGCCTATGGCTGATATTTTGTCAATGACCTATCCAAATATTAATCTCGGATTCCACAGCAAATTCCACCACAATCTATGGTATTTTTGTATTGCTTGCTAAAACGTGCCCCAGTGGGGTACTGTAGGTTTCGTTTTTCCCGCTTTTCTCGGGGCCCCTAGCTTCGATCCGGCTGAAATTTTCAGGGTTGTTAGGCAATAAGTAGGGGCACCTCACTGCCAAATACGAGAGCGTACTATCCACAAACGTTCATGAAAAATACTAAAAACTGATTTTTTAATCGTGCGGCAGAAATTTGTAAATTTTTTGGTAAATTGGTCCAAAAACTGCTACTATTGGTTTTACGAAAACATCGAAGCGATTCCATGGCAAAAACACCACGAAAATCGCAAATTTCGGTTTTCTACAGTAACCCACGTGGAGCGCGTTTTAGCATGCCATCACAAAATTCCATAAAGTGACGATTTTTCTGTTCGAGGGCCTTCTAGAGGCGATTGTAAGACAGCCTGTTAAAAATGACTGATTTTGGGTGGTAAATAACAAAGTTACGAGGCCAAGTGCAAAATAGGCCAGAGAGCCGATTTTTGGTCCGAGTAGCCGGGGTCAATTTTCGAATTATTAAAAATAAAAAAACCACCTAAGTCTTTTGGATACGATTATAGCTTTGATGTTATTATTTACGCCTTTCAAATTCCGGAGCAATCTGATTCAAACGTATGGTGACTTTCAGCTCAAATTCGAAGATCACCCTATTCCAAAATCGAAGTTTAAAATTCTTTAAAAAAAAATTTCGACGGAAAATTGTCTTAGTCTTTGCATAGTTTTATTCAACTGATAGCACAGACTTATTGCTCCAAATATACCTACGACTCCACCTTCCAAAATTTTTTGACGCAACCTCCAATTCGGTTTATTTCGGGTTTTGATGAATTTTCCTGGCGCCAACCGCTGGTTAAAAAAATTCATGAATAAGGCTTTAGGATGCGCTATTCACCAGGTATCAGATAAAAATAAAACAATAATTTTCACAGCGCCACTAAATTTTATAAAATGGTGACAAGATTCGGAAAAAAGCGCGAACCAACCGTTTTGGAAGCCCTAAAAGACGCCCTTCCAAAGAGGTACGGTAGATAGAAATTTTGTAAATGATAGATAAACCCCAGTACTACATAGCTAAGCAAAGAAAACAGCTGAGGCCCCTTTGGCAATTTAGAAATATTTTTCCAAAGTTCGATTTCGAGACCTCGAAAAATCCATGACCAGGGGGTCGATGAAAAACTCGAAAATTCATCGATCTCAAAAATTTTTTAAGATTTTTATGCGATTGTAACGGGCTCGTAGATATTCCACAACAACTGATTTTGAGGTTTTCGCCATAGGTTTTTTTAATAATAAAAATTTACGAAATTTCTCCATACAAAATTTCATTCCTCTCTAACTTTTCAACCAGACCCTCAAAAATTCTTAAATTTTTTAGGTACATATCTGCTGCTTATATTAACTTACGTAATAAAAATTAGATGCCAGCCACCACAGGAAATTTAGAAAAAGGCAAAGTAAGATTTCCCCGAGCGCACAGTTTTCGGGTGTCATTTGTATTGATACGTCGCCAAAAATCGAAAAAATCAAGTTGAGTTATTTCCCTATTCCTGACATATTTAAGCATTCTGGCATGGTAACGCACGGTGAAATATCTTTCCTTCTCGAGATAATTGGGGACAAACTACGGCACTTTTTTTTGCCCCACCCTGTACACGGCACTCCAAAATACGCCAAAATTTTGGGATATTTGCAATTCGTACTGTGGATCTCAGAATAGGGTAATCCAGTTTAAAGCAGCGTTTGGTAAGGTTTTGACTGTCACCATCCCTTTAATCCTGTTCCTAAGAGTACGATACGCTCCAAAATACGCCAAATTCCACTCTCTACCGTACCTCTCCTCCCCGCACATTAATGTGACATCGGATAGATGTGCGTTGTTGAAATATTTCGCGAAATCGCTCATCGACTCCCGGTCATCCCCGAAACAGTCGACGCCTGAAAAAAAATATTTTCAGGTTTTAAAAATTTATTTTTGATTTTTTAGGTTTTCTGCTTCCAAATGCCTTGAAAATTTGAATGCCTAGCTAATTGCCCGCCAGAAAGGTCAAAGGAGAAGCCAAAAGAGAGGGGCTTATCTCCTTCCGGAAACTATCCATTTGACCGGGTCAACGGCCCTGATTTTTGGGGATCGTTAAGATATCTCAAAAGACCGCAAAATTTTTTTGATGGTTTTAGTACAGTTTGGTACTAATTGGTAGCCAGTTAAAATATATTAGGTCAAAACTACCGTAATCCATTGACTAAATTAAACTTTTAAAAGTGTTTTGGCTTAATTGGCAGTCAGTTTAGGTAATAAAATAAATATTACAATACTAAACGAAGTATTACTGATATTGGTACTAACTGGCGGTCAATGTAGCCAATAAAATCGTTTACGACACCAAAAACCGTATTTTTTCAAAAGTACCGTACCCAACGTTTCCACCGTATCCGCACAGTCTCGATATTGTTCCCAGTACTCTGCCGTCATACTAAAAACGTGAAAAAATAGCATTCGCAGAAATGGATAGAAAATGAGGACGCAGGAAATACCACTAAATGTATTCAAAGTTATTATATTAAAAAGGCAATATTGTATCGTAGCATATCGTATCGGAGCGTATCGTATCTGAGCGTATCGTAGCGTAGCGTATCCTAATTTAGCGGCGCGCATCATAGCGTATCGTAGCGTAGCGTATTGCATCGGTGTGTATCGTAGCGTAATGTATCGTAACGTCGCGCTGCGTATTGTATCGTAACGTTGCGTAGCGCATTGTATCGTAACGTAAGTAAATCGTAGTGCAGCGTATACAAGCGTAGCGTAACGCAACGTAGCCTGTCCTAGTTTATCGCGACGTATCTTAGCGTACCGCGTCGTAGCGTAGCGAATTCGCCCCCACAAAAGGACTCGTCAAAAACAGAGCTTTTTCGGGGGGCTAATAACCTGGAGATTAAACGGTGGTGCAGGGTGGGGTTGGCCTATTTTCGACGCCAATTTTTTGTCGGGGTGGAATTTATACGATGACCAATCCAAAAAATCGTGTGCTCAAAAAATCGATTGATAATCGCAAAAAGTCATAACATCACAAAAGACACGGGAAAGAAAAGGTCAGAAATTTTTTTGGAATTGATAAAATAATGACAAAATAATGGAAAGAAAAATTTATAGTGTTTCACAAATTTTATTCTACTTTCGTTAACTGGAAAGTGACGCTTGACACCTCAAAAAAATGAGCCCGTCTGCAGAAAATGGAATGAATAATGGCTTATCACGCCTCGGCTCGATGGGGGTCTTGGCTTTTTTGGGGGGAAGGCGTCTCGAATCCGTTGAATGTTTACTTTATAAAGAAGAGAGCGAGAGAGAGAGAGAGAGAGAGAGAGAGAGAGAGGGAGAGAGAGAGAAATAACCCAGAAAAAGCCAAATCAAATAAAGCGAAAGGTGCTAAAATTGGGAACAAAGGGATGCCGACATGAGGGCAATAAGGCAAACACTTGAAAACGACAAAAACACGCTCAAAAAAATGCAAAAATTATTTTTTTCCAACATTTTTTAGATGGCGGAATCGGTTAGCAGCTAGAATGCCAGGCAAAAGGCCCGAGTTCAAATCCACCCAGCGAAAAAATTTTGCTTTTTGAAAATTGCTTTCAAACAAGCTAACTGTCAGGAAAAAACCTCGAAAATCGACACTCGCCCGGCAGCTGGAAAATGTGCTCACAGGGGGGGATTATGCAGATTTTGGTGGGGAAGAGGGCGAGGAAAGGGCGATTCGCTAGTCATACCGATGGCAAAAAAAGCACTTTGTACGTTGAAACGATTACGCTATGAAATCTGGGTTTTGTCAACCGATTACGGCATGAAATAGACTTCCAAATAGCGTCAAAATGCTGATTTCAGCCGAAAATTTCCATAAAAACGAGCAATCGGTTACTTCATTCATTAGACGATGTAATCGATTACGGTATGAAAATCTCGTGAAATCCATCAGGCTTATGACTTGCCAATACCTCAAAAATAGCGTTAAAATGCTAATTTCACTCGAGAATCGCCAGAAAACTAGGAATTCGGTTACGCTATTAATTTAACCACCAGTGTAATCGATTATGGTGCGAAAATTTACAGCAATCGCAAAAAATTCCACGGGATTTTTGACTTGCCAAGGCCTTAAAATATCTGGAAAAAGTGCTTTTTGACCGGAAACAAGCCCTAAAAAGCCGTAAAATCTCCAGCGGAGTGGTCAAAATTTGAAACCCAGAAGCCGCTAGATTTGACCGACAGCTTGTTATCCGAAAAGAAAGGGAGAGAGAGAGAGAGAGAGAGAGAGAGTCAGATAAGACGGGGCAATTATCTAATGCCTCTTTCCCTCGTTGCGTGCTGCAGCCTGTTGCAAAAAGTATACACATTTCTTCGTCTATATATTTGCCTCGAGAAAGTGGGGGCGTTTCTCTGCGTCTCTCGCTTTTCTATACTCTCTCTCCCTCTCTGCCTATATTCTGACTAATGGAAAGGCGTTTGAGTAACAATAGAAGAAGATATTCCAGGATAAGGGTGAGTCATTTATTGCTGCAACTGTGCTTTTGCAAAAAAACCACAAAAGCATGAGTATTCTTTTGGCTTCATTTTCATAGCGTAAGCGGATGCCCTTTGTGTCACCATCTTTTCAATGAGTCATTTTCAAAACTATTTGTGTTATTTTTATGCTTTCTGGCAGTCAGTTTAACGTTTCTCACACTTGAAACTGGGATTAAGCTAATCTGATTTTCATAGCGTAATCGAATGTCCTTTATGTCACCATTCCTTTAATCAGCTATCCGTGATTCAAATTTCCAGATTGCTGCGCTTTCTGGCATCCAGTTAATCCATTAGCAGCTCTAAACCACGAATTGCCACTGATTTCATCGCGTAACTGGTTGCCTCCTTGGTGTCACCATCCCTTTAATGCCGCATTCTCGCATCAATTTTTGCGTATCTTTCGATGTTCTGGCAGCCAATTCAGCGATTGGTAGCTCTAAAACGTCATAAATCAACTCTCCAATTTTCAGTGCGTGATGGATTACCTTTTCTTGAATTTTAATAAGATGTCGTAATTAATTCTTTATGTTAAAGTTCCTTTAATGGGGATAAGAATTTATGGGAACCCGATGTTTGCTCACAATCGCTTCATTTTTCATAATTTTTTGTATTGGTGTGACGGTGGGCAGGTGCTCAAATATACCTTTGTCTGTCTGTGCATCTATTTGTCTGTCTGTCTCTCTCTCGCTCTCTCGCCGCTCTCTCTCCCTCTCTATCTCTCTCTCTTTCCCTCTCTCTCTCTCTCTCACTCTCTCTTCCTCTCTCTCACACTGTCTCTCTTTCTCTCTGTCCGTCCACCTGTATTCCCACGTAATCCCCCCATTCAATTCCACTTCGCGCTCCTCTTTTTTTGAGTTCTCCCCCCGATGTGGGTCTCGAATTGTGAATATCGATTTATTCGGGGAGCGGGAGGTTTAGAGGTCTTTTCATGGTTGAGCACGAGAGAGAACTGACAGACAGACAGACAGAAACCCCAAAAAAGCGTCCCTCAAAAAGGTAGTAATACCGGAAGGTTGGACTTTTTATGGTTTTTTTAGCATTCCTCACTTCAACTGTCGTCTTTTTCGATTCCCTTATTTTCTATGAGTAAATTCGCCAATACCGTATCCATATTTGTATTTTCTGCGGGCCAGTTTATTCATTTTGCAGGTTTTTACCGCTGAGCTTCAACTAAATTTTTAGGAAATTAAATTTTTGGGAAAATTGGGAATTTACTTTTTTTAATTCGCGTAACGAAATATCTATTTTTACCAGTTTTTCCGCTCTAATATTTTTTAGAAAGTTCCCGGTAGTACATCCATGGCCTAGTGGTTAGGGCTGCTGCATGTCAATCTGAAGGCCCGGGTTCGGATCCCCGGCGGGTCAAACTTTTTGCTTTTTGCTCAGAAAAATAAGGCGGATATTTTAAGGCGTTCCGTGCTTTTAAAATCAAAATTTCGGCTTCTTTGTTCTCCAAAAATCAGCACTTTGCCTCGAGGGCTTTTCCCTCTTTTTCCTTGTCTCGAGGGGCGTCTATGTAAATTCTAGGCGGGAATGCAAATATTGGCCTTTCCCTCCGTAGGGTCCTCTACCCGGCAAAGCGTTACGATATTTTATTCCCTTTCGGCCAGCTAAATCTATAAATCGATATGCCGCGAGGCTACAAAGTACAACCTGCGAATTCTAAGGATTCCAAAAATTCTAAAATTCCTAAAAACGCTCAAAATTCCTTTAATTCTCAGCAATTCAATAGTCTACAGTATCTCCACTATGGAATGGTAAGTTTTAAAAATTTTACAAACTATAGAACATTTTTAAAATGGTAAAAATTGCATTTTTCGAATTTTTAGGGGTTACTGTAGCTTTAAAAAGTGTTAAAGATGCAAGATTTTTTGATGTATCAATGTCATTCCTGTCAGTTTAAATAATGCACTGTTTTTGAAAAAAACCAGTTGCTTTAAAAAACTGATTCTTCCAATTTTGGAGGTTATTGTAGTTTGCAAAATCTCTAAAAATTAGGAATTTTAAAAATTTTCAGCTCTTTTGTCAGACAGTTTAAATAACGGAGCACTTTCTGCCTTCCAAGTTTCTTAAAACAACCAGTTTTCCCAATATTCCGTCTTTTTTTCGGAAATTCAGGGCGTACTGATTGTTGACACGTACTTTCCCTGCGTCTCTCTCTCTCTCTCTCTCTCTCTCTCTCTCTCCTATTGTAAACTTTCCCTCCACCTGGTTATACTAAAAGCCTAAACTGCCGTCCCCTCTTCTTTCCGTCTCTCTTTCCATTCCATTCCTAACAACACCCTCCCCTCCCCCCGACCCCCAAAATATTTATTTTGCCCTACCAAACTTTCGGGCTAGCGTCACTTATCGATCATTTCCGTTGGCCAAAAGCTTTAATGGCAGGCAGTTTAGCATTTTTTAAATTTTTAAATAGTTTAAACGTTTACGACATGTATTTCTAGGCTCAAAAAATGGCGATTTTAGCGTTACACTCAACTGTTATGCTGTTTAATAATTCCTTGCATCTATTTGTCAAAGACAATGGCCAGGAATCGATTACGACATGTAATTTTTTCGATCGATAAAACGCGTTTTCTAAGGGATTACGGAATGTATTTCCAGGCTTAAATATTGCACAAATCCACCAAAAAAAATAGATTTTGAGTTTTTTGGCTTTTTGGTATCGATTCCAATATCCGATTACGATAGGTAATTGTAACCATTTTCCTATGCTTGTTAAAACGTGTTCGAACGTCTTCAATTCAATAACTCAGCGTAATTCAAGGCCTAAAATAGCTGTATTTCGTGCAAATGATTATTTTTGAGGTTGGTCTTCTAAAACTGATTGCGATAGGTAACTCCAGGTCCGGAAATTGTCCTATTTTTGCCGTAAAAATACTTATGCTCGTCTGAATTTCCCAATTAATAATGAGGGAGGGGTGGCGTTCAGTTATGACAAACAACGCCCTAAAATACACTACGCGGGGTTGAGATTAGTACAAATTGGGGTTGCTAGAGAAGAGATAGAGAGAGAGAGAGAGAGAGAGAGAGAGAGAGAGAGAAGAGGGAGAGAGAGAGCCGAGAGAAATGAGAGATATCGAAAGTACAAGCGCCCTCCAGGATAAACTAGCATTTTGAGGATTTCTCTCTAGGTCATAACAGATTTTTTTTAATCGCTAATTCTCGTGAAATCTCACCATTTTTGTGTAAAATGAGAGCCAGTTTACCCTCTAAAAATCACCAAATTAGTTATATTCGAAAAATAAAGTTTTTAAGGTCAGATTTATCTCGAGTTTTAGATAAACCGACTGCCAGTTGATCATCTAAAATTCACTAAATCGGTTTTTGCAACAAAATTGGGAATTAAAATTTTGATTGATATTTTTACCAAGTAAACTGACCGTGAATAAACGCGATAAGCTCCTCAGAATCAAGATACTTTCTAGAACGCAAGAATTACGTCTATTTTGCGATATTCTGAACGTCAGTTCACTTTCTAAAAATCACCAAATCCGCATTTTCTCGAAAACCGAGGATTGAGTCGGATTTTAGAGACACTTCGGGCCAAGGCTCACCATATAACAGTCAACTTACTATAACAAAGCCCCGTTTTGAAACACTAGGAATTTTATGTTTTTACAAAAATTTTGGATCAAACCGCAATCTTTGCCAAATTTTAGCGCCAAAATCCACGTTTTAAAAACAATCCTTGAATTTCCGAGTAAACTGTCTGGCAGTCTTCACGTTTCGAAAGTAATCAGCGTCTATTTTTCCCGGCTCTTCATTTCGATGCCTTGAGGGTGTATTTGTTCTTTGGATGAAGCGAGAGAGAGAGAGAGAGAGAGAGACAGAGAGAGAAGCGCAGAGGTGTGTGGCCGGGAGTTGGCCTAGGGAACAACCGAGTAGTCGCCACACTTTCGATACTCATTTTATTCGGGCGTCTCTCTCTCTCTGCCCTCTCTCTCCCTCTGTTGTCCATAGGAACCCCCAGGATTTTTGTGAGGTGGGGCGGCAGCTTCTCCCTCGTGCTTCTAAACACTAGCCCGTTCGGAGTAACCTCTCGGAAAATTTCGCTGACCCGCCCTGGGTCAGAGAATTGGCTACTCTGACTCATAGTGTACACAATTTACTTTGTTCCTCTCTCTACCTCCCTCTCTCTCACTCTCTCTCTCTCCCTCACTCTCTCACTCTCTCCCTCACTCTCTCTCTCTCCCTCACTCTCTCACTCTCTCTCTCTCTCTCTCGCTCTCTCTCTTTCTCTTGATCTCTCTTAGCCACTCTCTCGCCCATTTCACTTCCTAGCAGTAAGCCCCCCGTGGACCAATTATTTTCGTCCCTAGCCTCAAAGAACCTTCACGCCGTTATTTCCGGTTTTTCCAAGTGACATCTAGCAGTTTTTCTTGTCTGCTAACTATTTTTGGCACACATTCTCGAAGCTAAACGCCAAAAATCTAAAACAAATCGATTTACGACCTTTCGTGTCCTTCCAAAATCTATCGATATATCTATCGATCCGACCAGCTCAAAATTTTGAAGCCCGGGGAGAGGCAATAAACAGGGCTAGGGGCACGCCGGAGAGGGGGTAAAGCCGTGACTCATAAAACGCGCTGTCCGGAAAAGGATCGAAGCGCTGATCAGTCACTTCCCCCATCTCTCGCCCGACACGCTTCTAGCCTGAATTATATAGCGTAACTATATATTCTGAATTCCCGGAAATCCATGGCACGGTCGAATGGCAGACAGGTTAGACGGCTAAAGCCTTAAAAACGGCTTAAAACTACCTGAAAAATTAATTTTGAAAAATCCCGCCCCCTCTCCGGAATTCTGGATTCTAAAAGTTGCCCTAAAAACTTCGATGAATCACCAGGTGACGCCCTATTTATCGCAATCGCTTATCTGCCAGTCAGTTTATGGTATTTCATCCTAGGTTGGCTTCAGTTTATTGAGATTATTGAAATAGTACGAGACTTTCCGAACGCCAAATTTAATTTCTCAATTGTTCCATTTAAAATTGTATTTATTTTCTCTGGAATCAAATATTTTTTATGTAGTTATTCACTGATTCTATTTGAAGCGAGTGTGAATAGTCTAAAACTTACATTTTTAGAAATGTAAAAATTACTAGATCTTTCCTGTTTTCAAGAAAAATATCTTCTAAAAATTCAGAATTTTCCCGAATTCCGATGCCCATTAGGAGAACTCAAGGCGAGAGATTCCACATCTATTTTTCCCCAATTTTATTGTCTAAATATTTTCATTTTGGCTCGGATTTTTTTCATTTCCGCTTCTATTCCGGCCTAGAATTATTGACCGGAATATAAATCTTCTAGCCCCCTCTAGGCCCTCTTTTCCGAGAAAATCGGGTAACCACGGGAATCCAGCAGGGAGGGCAGAGGAATTAAAAGGACCTGGAAAGCTCACGAGAATTAGCGTCATTTTTCATGTTTACATAAAATCGTCTTTCAAAAAATTGTCATTATTCTAAAATAACGTCATTAAAAACTAAATGATTTTTTTCAGTTATATGTACCCCTGGATCGACCTCCACGCAGGATGAATTCTGGGAAAGATGATATGAGAGAATATTGTGTCAACGGCCAAATGAGGTACGCTAGAAATTCGAGGATTTAAAAACATCTAAATCATGATCAAAAATTAATTAACTTTTCCCTATTAAAATAAACGGATAAGCTTTAAAATTAGACTAAAAATTCTACAAAGCCCCAAATTACCAACTTTTAACTTTTAAGACTAAAATCAAACCAAATAATTTAGTGCACACTAGATCAAAAATTTGATCACTGTAAAACAAAAATTACCGTTTTCTTTACTAATAAACAAAAATCAAATAAATTCCCAGAAAATACGATAATTCTTCATTAGACAAAACCGAATAAAAGAAAATGCTACTCATAAAAGCTAAGGCTAAATTATAAAATCTAATCCATCCAAATCAGGATACCATTTCGATCACTTTTTCAGTATTAAAATAAATTTTAAAAAATGGAATTACTTGGAGATTGGATGAAATTGTTGAAAACTGAAATAATATAGATCCATTTAGTTCCTCACAAAACGAAGAAGAGGAGGGGCCGTCGACGAGTACCGCCACGGGGCCGAGCAGGACGGAAAATGTCAGGAGGTGCGTTCAGAAAATTGCTAAAAACATATCAAAAACAATTTTCTAGACTTTTCGTAAACCGGTATGAAACTAATTTAAACGTTATAAAGCTAAACTATAAATTTAGAAGTCTAAAAGACCTGAAAAAGGACATGGGACGGAATTTCGACGCGCTCGTCCATCGGCCGAGGATGGAGAGGATCAGTGAGAGTGAGGGAGGCATTCAGGATAAGGTTGGTGGCCGTTTCGTTCGCTTTCTTCTCGAAAAGTGGAATTGATCCAAAAAAAACTGCCCGAATCAAATTAGGGCGTAAAAATGGGGCTAGAAACTCCAAAATCTGAGCGTAACTTCGTCAAAACATGAACCTACACACTTTAAACTGTTTTAATTGCCTTAAAAGCTGTAAATTCTTATCGAAACGTAGAATCATCTAAAACGTAAATGCCTGAATAAAATTAGGCCGTAAAAATGGGGGCTACAAACTCCAAATAATGTGGGTAATCTCTTTCAAACCCAACCACAGTTTGCAAAATTGAATCTAGGCTGGGAAAAACCAGAAGACAAACTACAAACTGCAAAACCAATGGGGCAACCTCCTAAAAACTCGAAAAATACAAGAGAAGGCAAAGTACGATTCGCTCCTCCTTCCGTCAATCCTCATTTCAAGTCGTAATCGATAACAATTAATAACGGCAATTTTTAACGATCAAAATTCCGAAAATCAAAGGTTAATCGGGTCTAGAAATTATACTAAAAAGAACTCGAAAATACGACTATAAACTCCAAAATCGATTCCTGAAAAACGCCTCAACCCACCACAAACTCCAAATTCCGGACAAAAATTTCACACCGTACTCGAATCGATAAGTCCGATTTTTAGCGCCACAAACTCCAAAAACAAGCTTTATTTCTGCCGAAAAATCTCTTAAAAATCAAAACGAGCGAAATTCACGAGAAACCAATAAAATCACAGCCTATCGTCTAAATACTAGTAGAAAAAACACACAAAAAGCGAGCGAGCAGTGAGAAATAGAAATAGAAATGCCCCGAGCAAAAAGAGTGAGCATACATTGACAGCCAAGAAATTAGAAATTACCCGTTAATAGAAATACACGAAAAAAAAAGAAATATAACTAGAGCGCAAGGAAACTTGATAGATTAATTCTTCTTGAGATGGCGATCCAGCGGGTAGTGCGTCTGCAAAAATTCATTAAAAAAATAGAAACTGTATAAAAATGATCATTAATAAACTAATAAAATAATCTAATTCAATGCAAAATAAATCCTCATTAAACAAATTAAAATTAAATTAAAATGAAGCCTTATTCAACAAATTAAATAAAAAGTAAATCCCTATTCAAGTATTCGAAAATTTTAATTAAAATGAAAATCAACCTTTATTGACTACAATTAAAAATTTTGCATTCATTAATGAATCATTTTTCCTCTTGAATAATTTTGAAATACTAAAATAAATAATTTGAAAGAAATTTACAAATTGAAATAATTAAAAATTGTATACGTTTATTTATTAAATAATAAAAAATTACCCCGAATTCGGCGAGATGGTCGTCGAGCTCCTGGCGCTGGCGACGAAGAGGGGCCGGCAGCTAGAAAAGAAAAATAAAGAAAATGCATGTTTGCTATTTTAATAAAACCCTCAAAAAATGCGATACCTTATCGTAGACTCCCTCGAACATTTCGTGGTAGGGGGCACGCTGGATTTTCTCGGATGCGGCGAACGCCGTCAGCACACGCTCGCGAACCTCCAAAATATTCTGATTAACCGGAAAATGAAATTTGCCAGATCGAATTTTCTCTTTTTTTTTGACAAATTCTAAAATTCAAAGTAAAAAACTACAAACCACTTTAAAACCCATAATAAAAAAATGAACGAAAAGACCCTTTACATCTTCAAAATAATCCCAAAACAAATGTTTCGAAATAAGAAAGCTAATTTTCCAAAGTTTCTCGGCGAATTCCCAGGACAAAAATATAGTGAAAGACGCTTCCCTGCTCCCTAAAATATCAACAAAACACGAGTAAAAGAACATCCGCTCCCTAAAAATTACAAAATCGCCGCAAAATTATTTTATTGCATGCATTTCCAAAGCCTAAAAACTACCAGAAGGACTTACAAGTCCCTTTAAAGTGCAAAAAACCGCGAAATTGTACCTGTAGCGCCCATTCGTTGTCCCACTGCTCGGTCCACCATCCCTTCTCCATCAAATAGGCCTTGAATCGTTCGATCGGATGGTCGCCAGAACCCCATTTCTGCACCTCGTCCGCCGATCTAAAAACATAATATAGATTTTAATTCATAGAAAAGCGACAGAAAAGGAAACCTAGAGAAGAGAGAGAGCGAGCGAGAGACAGAGAGAGAGAGTGAGAGAGAGAGCGAGAGAGAGAGAGAGAGAGATTCAACTGAATACCTGTACGTAGTCGAATCATCAGATGTTGAATGATGTCCCAATCGATAGGTCATCGCCTCGATGAGTACCGGTTTATTCGAGAGGGCCAGTTTTCGGGTGTCGGGTGGCATTGCAGACGGCGAATAGGTCGTTGCCGTCCAACGCTAAAAAAACTCGGCAAGTACAGGGCATGAGACAGCGGAAATTAGACACTACCCCCCTCTGCGCACTAATACATCAAAAATTGAAAATTTCGCTAAATTCGAAATTTAAGAAATTAGCCAAATATTAAATTAACTAAAGGGATTGAATCTAGCACTATTTGAGCCCTAATCGGTTAAAAATCAGCAAAGAAAATAATTCTTAGCCCCAAAAATTTCCACTTTTTACGCAAATTACGCTCTCTAATTGCAAGCTAATAAATTTTTACCCGACAAAACATATAATCAAAATTTTCATTAAGGGCGCCTGTCAGTAATAATTCAAAAAATATTTTAGCATAAAATCAAAATCAGGTTCTATTAGCTTCACAAACTACTTAAATTAAATTCTATTTAAAAACGCCGATGTCAAAACTAGTTCAAAAATATTTTAGCATAAATAGCTAAACAATAGCTTTTTTCTGAATCAAGGTAATTTAAATTTCCTCAAAAATTCCAATTTTTTCCGATAGACACCAAAACGTACCGTATGGTGTGGAGACCGTAGCCGGGTCCCTGCCCGGCAATTCCATCGCCTCCATACTGTTCGGTGGTGGGCGTCGAGATGGCGTATCCGTTGTTGCGGCAGAAGAAAATTATCGGGCAGTCCTAAAACAGGGAGATCAGAATTTCACGTCGCGATCGAATACATACCAGGTCGCGGCAAAGTTGAAGGCCGCATGGGCGTCGCCCTGAAGCGCCACAATCCCCCAAAGTAGACGCACACCACGCGCGAGTTGTTCGGCTGTCTATAAAATGGTGAATTAAACGTTAAAAAAGCCAAAAATCCTTCATATTGTGAAAAAATTAAATTAACAACCTTTCGCGCCAAAAATTCCCCAATTTTGCTATTAAAAATAAACATGGAAAGTTCGGGATTATAGGTCATTTTTAGAACCCCAAATCTCTCTAATTTTTACCCTAAAACACTAAGAAACACAGGATTTAGCTTCTAAAGCTACAAAATAAAATTGAAGGGATTCGTAACCCTTCTACAGGCAAAAATACTCCTAATTTTTAGCCTAAAACGATCAAAACGCCCATTTGACGACGATTTGCTCCAAAAACAAAAACATAATTTGAAGGTTTTAGCCTATTTTTAGTGTCCAAATTTGATTAAGTAATAGGAAAAAATCGAAATTGATAGAATTGTAAGAGATTTTGGCTGCAAAAATTCAATATTTTAGTTGATAAAATAGAAAAATACAAATTTGAATTTTAAGGCAAAAATCGTAGGTCACAAAACTCAAAATTAAAATTTGACGCCATTTTAGAGCCAAAACGCCAGATTTTTATCCTAAAGCACGCAAAAAGTACCGTTTAAACGCGTAGGCGCTGCCGACGGCCTGTGGCATCTGGGTGCTCAACGGGCTGGAGATCATGACGAGATTGCTGCTCCTAGAACCGTAGTGAATCGGCATCTGCTTGCCTTTGCCTAAAAGCACTTATAAAAATAAACTACAAATGACGAACCGAGATCCTTGGAATTGCCGTAGCATTGGTGCATGAATTGCTCCAGGAAAAAGCGTGCCACATCCGGACTCCCACCTAAAAACGGGGATTTTAAGGTGCAAGAAATCAAAAATACCTCGCGATACTGATAAGTAGATGAGGATCCTGGGCTTCCAGGGCCGCCGCCGAGCCCACGTGATTTCCCTAGAAAAACAGAGGTATTTTACCGCTAAAAATGGAAAAAATGAACCTAGAGAAATTTCCATATTTTCAAAACTTCTAAAATAAAGGAAAAACTCAAAAAGTCCTAAAACGAGCGTTCCCTACGAGGAATCCTATAATTTTCCTACTATATATAAAAAAAATAGTGTTTGTGTGTGCAATGCATCTGTGCCACTTTGCATGCAACTTCCGTCATTCTGTCCGGAGGATATCAGGGGACAGGAAGGGTATTAGAGTACGTATGATACGTCATTAGTGCGTAATGGCCCTGAGATGACTGCACGCAGAGCAGATTTATCAAAATTGCCTATTTTCGACATTAAACTTAAGTTTTTGCTGAAAAATCGGCGATTCTTCTGTTAGGAAAAAAATTAGCATGCGCCGGAAGTCCCGGTAGCCTATATAATGGGTTAGCGAGCGCGATTTTCATTTTTGTCATAGGAAATCCAAGAATTATGCAAAGTGAAGTATATCATGCGATCAAACGGGGCCAGGGTTGAAAAGTCGCGAAGCGGCTTTTCAACCCTGGTAATTTAGAAAATTCACGGAAAATGGACATTTTCATTTATGGTCAAGAACAAATTTTTTCGAAGGATATAAACACCGAAAAAACAAAAATCCTTTTTAAAACAGAAATTTAAACTTAACCAGGGTTGAAAAGTCGCTTCGCGACTTTCCAACCCTGGCCCCGTCTAACCCCATCATCTTCTTCACTCTGCATACATCTCTCAAATTCCTATGAGAAAAATGAAAAATTCCACTCTATCGCGTCATATATATAGGCTGCCGCCACTTCCGGCAGATGCTAATTTTTTCCTAACAAAGAAGGCTGTCGGATTTTTCAACAAAAACTCAATTTTAATGCCGAAAATAGCGTAATTTGCAAAATCTGATATACGTGCAGTCATCTCGGGGCCATTGCGCACCTAATGACGTATGATACGTAGCCTAAAACCCTTCCCCTCTAAAGATATCCTCCGGACACGGTGATGGAAGTTGCATGCAAATGCACACACACACACACACACACACACACACAGGAACTATTTTTTTATATATAGTAGGATTGAAAAAATTCAATAGTCTCCAAACGTCTTTTGAAAGCGCCTGAATGGGCCCACGATTTATTTTCCTAGAATTATAGATTCAAACGAAAAAGTACATGGCATTTTTGACCGAAAACCCTAACATTTTTAATTTTTAACTTCTAAAACCATAAAAACTCATTTTTTGATGATTTAACGCGTAAAATAGTTAAAACCCCAAGCCAAAGTGATTTCCTTATAAAAACCCTGGTTTTTTAGATAAAAAAAATTGGGCTACAATAATATAGAAAATAATTTTTACTTTTTAAAACACGAAAAGTATCAAAAATCCATTTTAAATCCCCTCTAAAGCCCAAGCTCAAATTCATAGCTTGTTTTCGCCTCGACGCGCTACAATTTCGAGCAAAGCAGCTTTTTCTATGGGTCTGAGAAAAGCGTGGGAGACACTTAAAAAGCCACACTTCTCGCTAGAACCTAAATTCACTCTACTAATTAGTAATCCAGCTAAATGCCACCAAATCGATCGATATTCCCCATTTTGCTAAAGAAAATCCGGAAATCACAAAGCGCCATTCGGCCGGAAGTGGATCGATTGGAGGTCGAGGAGAATGATATTCCATCTATTCAATCGAGCGTGGGTTTTTCGCAGTTTAAAGCAACCAAGATCGATTTTTTAAAATTAATAATTGAGAAATCGTAGAAATAGTGTCTAAAAACCTAGTATAGCTTTAAAATTCCACAAAAACACGTTTAAAAAATTAAAACGTAAAATAAAAGGCT